TCGAAATCGGCCGAACATGACGTCACTCTGACGTCATTTCCGGCCGACCTATAGTAGCTACGAACTACGAAGTTCATTTTTTCGACACAAGGTGTCAAATTGATGCAGCCGAAGGTACTGAAAGTTTGGCGTCGATACGTCAAGCGGTTTGGAAGTTATTGCAGAAAAACGGGAGGAGAGCTATGCATAGCCCCGGCCCCCTCCCCCCCCCCCCGTGGGGCGCGGGTTAAGGCGGCTAGTGTAAAACACAACCACTGAATCACACTGGATAAGAACAAACAAACCAGATATGAGACGGGTAGCCACGAAGCTCACAAACGAGCATCACAGCTATAACACGAATAACTAACGTACAACGGGGGCTGGTCATGCACTTGTCGTGAAGCCTCAGCACTGTGTTTCGCTAATACAACGCTAATATCAAACGCACAACGGCGGCCGGCCATGAACTTGTTGACATTTCTCACCATTGAATTTCGCCAATCAAAACATTTACCGCATCACTCAAACCTGTGTCATTCTCATAACTGTGTACCACTTAAAACTGACTTTTGTGCCTCAAACTGCCGAACCGCTAGACAGAAGTGGCAGCAGTGCGGTTGCACTTCGCATGGGTACGCATGTGTCCGGTGAGATGTGCCCGTTGAGTGAACCGGGCCTGGCAGTGTGAGCAGTCGTACGGCCGCTCCCCCGTGTGGGTCCGCATGTGTTTGGTGAGATGTGCCCGTTGAGTGAACCGTGCCTTGCAGATAGAGCAGCTGTATGGCCGCTCCCCAGTGTGGGTCCGCATGTGGTTGTTGAGGTTTGACCGTTTAGTGAACCGTGCCGTGCAGATGGAGCAGCAGTACGGCTGCTCCCCCGTGTGGTTACGCATGTGTCCGGTGAGGTGTGACCGTTGAGTGAATCGTGCCGTGCAGATAGAGCAGCCGTATGGCCGCTCCCCCGTGTGAGTCCGCATGTGTCTGGTGAGGTGTGTTCGATTTGTGAACCGTGCCGTGCAGATAGAGCAGACGTACGGCCGCACTCCCGTGTGGGTTCGCATGTGTGTGATGAGGTTTGACCGCTCAGAGAATCGTGCCTTGCAAATGGAGCAGCCGTATGGCCGCTCCCCTGTGTGAGTTCTGCGGTGTTTTTTCATACAGTCGGACCTGTCGGTCGAGTATTGACACCACTCGCACTTGAACCTGCCGTTTCTGTCTTTATGACCGTGACTTGTCTTCACGTGTCCGTCCAGATAATGTTGTCCCAGACATCGGAAGTCGCAGTGGGGACACCGAAGTGTAAAGCCAATACCTGTAAAACACATTTAGAGATTGAGAGAGATCGAAAATGTTTCTGGCCAGCTATGTACAACATCAGGGTAAAATGATTGCATTCAAAATTAACAGTGAAGGACATGCATCGCTCCCTTAGTGCCAGTGAAGTAGGATTAGGGCCCAGTTGTCCCATTTGGGGCTGGCCGGAGAAATTCGAGAGCCAGTAGCCACTCAGCGCGGTGGTCGATGCCTGACATGCGGTCACGACGAAGGGAGAGGTCGAGGAGCGGTGGTGGATTGTGCGGTCACCAGCCGGTAACCTTGCGACGGCAATAGACAAGTAATGGACAAGATCGGTTGGCTGACACAGATGAAAATCAAACGTCCACAAACGCATGGGTGGTGCAAGACCCACAGTTTTTTGCAATTCAAAAAGACATGAACTAATACGGATGGATAATAACTTGCGCCCTTATACGATCGCACTTATTATCTCAGCTGCACAGGTTGTAACGAAATTATCCGGACATCTTTCTTCCCGCTGGAATTGAAAAGCCAAACAATCTGATGGCTTTCCTTGTAAATGACGATTGAGCCACACCTCATAAGACAGTTTCGAGTGCGCTGGAGCCTTTCAACCACTGGGTTCTCCAGCACACTGGGTTTGATGTCGACCGACGCCGTCTTGACCTGTGCCTACAGTTGGGCGGTGCTGGTGACGGTGTCTCCTGATTCACCTCCTGTTGGGCAGCAGTGCTTATAAGTTTTCGATGGGAATGGGATCGGGGCTATTTCCAAGTCATAGCCCGTCAGCCCAGAAAGGTAAGAGGCTCCCTCAGCATCACTTTTCATTTTCTAGGGACTTTGAGGTGGCGCGCCGCCCCGCATGAAGACAGCGTGACTTGAACCAGACATCAGTGCGCTTTCAGAAGCCGAACCCTCCTGTGCCGTCCGTTTGAGCGCCTCCAACCATTCGTTGGCCGCGATGTTGCTCCGGCAAGTGCTCGTCGTTGATAGTGGTTTTCTGTAACACCACGTGCTATTGAAACATCGCGCGGCAGCTAAACATGCACCACACGGATATTGGCCGGATGTTTGACGCTGTTGACGGTCGGCACGTTAGAACTGCTCTCGACGAGGAGCTCTAGAGGTCACTCGAGGTCAGGTCATCGGGTCACGCCAAGTGACCTTACTTCCTTTGAAGCCTCAATGCCTGTCATAGCTACAGAGTGATCGATCGCATTGAAACTTTCTGCAATTGATGACAGCAACAATATGTGCAAAATGTATATATCGGAATTTTAATAACGGTCAGGTAAGCTCAATACATTCCTGCCCGGGGCTGGGAAAATTTAATTGTGTCACCGAGGTTTTAATTGAAAGTACCGAGGACCGGTAGGCCCGAGGTACTTTCAATTAAAATACGAGGTGACACAATTAAATTTTCGCAGCTCAGGGCAGGGTGCTATTTCCCATACATCCGTACCATTATAGGGAGCGTTGCAAATGTTATGGAGGAACCAAAACGCCCCAATTTCAACCTTGTTGAGTCTTTCGTGGCAATGGTTTGTTGCGAAATAGCGTCAAAGTTTAAATTTTATATGGTGATGTTTCACTTTATTCATGACAAATAATAAAATCCTTGCATCAAACACAATGTAGGTAGGTATATCATAAGCCAATCAAATAAAATGGACGATAGATAAAATGAGTTATAAAGAGTTATTTGAGCTAAGTGATGCTCTTCAACTTTAGATGTGACGTCACTCATAATGACGTCGTATATTTGAGAGGTGCAGGAAAACGTAGAGGGGTGCAGGAAAACGCCGAAAGGTGAAGGATATATTTTCCTGCATGTCTCGGAAACCAATCAGCATTGACTTCTTGTATGCTTCAAAAGTGTAGTATAATGCACGTGCCATTTTAATGCCTGGCTTTCTCGATTTAAACTGCAATGTTGCATGTACGGGAAAGTTCAATATTGCGATCTTTCCAATTTGAGTCAATGGGAGAAAATTGGCAGGTAGGTACCTGCTTCAAACGAACGTCATTTTAAACACCTTAAAATAACGAATTACAAGTAAACATGACACAAAGGACCGGAAATTGGCACCCGCGACCCATCCTTATGTCCCCGAGGTTATCGTAGCTCATCATGTGCCGAAAATGTGCATGAAGTGGTGTGCTAAAAATAACAGCCCTCCACGAAGCCGTTTTTTGATATATATGCCAAAAACAAACAGGACGGGGAACAAAACACCCCTCCGACCCGGCGTGGGCTAAATCTTCAAGTATATGTTACTGAACAATATGTTTAAGTTTCTTTCAGGAACCATTGACCAAAACCAGAGGCATACCGCCTCACCTTCAATCGCAAGGATTAGATCGCAAACCGAAATGTCAGTTCAACAGACCAAACCCATGTAGTTTGGTAAATATACATCAAGCCTACATACCTACATTAGACCAGCTTCAACTAAACGGACCGACCGTTCGTCGTTTCCATCCTCAGGACAGTCAAAGCATTCTCCTCCACGCCTCACACCCCCTGCTCCGGGCTGGACGGGCAACTCTAACCCATACGGGAATGGCTCCACTGGAGCTAGCCCGTAGCCGGGTGCAGTGAGTGCCAGTGGGCTGGGTGGAGGTTTACCCCAGGTGACTCACTGGGGTGCCTGCCCAGACCAATGCCTCCCCTAATCCCTATCATCCTTCCGGCTCTGAAATGGTCTTATAGGACAGAAAGGGCCGAACCCAACAAAACAAGCAAATATGAAGGGACCGGACAAGAGCATAGTCAAGAGTGTTGGTAGAGAAAGAAAATATCTCCAGGATCATTTCGATGGACACCATAGCTCTCAGAGCCGCAAACGATGAACTGACCTGAAGATGAAGGTCCGGCCGGAGAGGAAGTCACAGACTCCCCAGACGTCTCCGAGTGGACGGTCCGCTCCCGGGCCGAGTCGTCTGCGTAGCGAGCGGAGTCTTTCTTTAGATTAACGGAAATTTCTGAGTATGAGCGGCCGGCCGGCCGGCCGTGCGGACGCTTTTGCGAGGCTTATATCTCAGCAACCACTTGACCGATTTACATGCGGTAATTTTTGTAGGGTAGCTTCATTCCTTCTACCAAGTATTGGACTATTCCCGATGCATGTGGGTGACCCATTATGCACGTGCCACGTGCAAAACGAAGGGGTGTCAGTTTTGTAATAGTTGCAATATCTCGGTAACTAGGTACTTGGCCGATTGCGCTGAAAGTTGGCACGTAGGTATGCACCCACTAGGCAATGCATATCCATGTGCCAGAGTTGGGGTGCTGCTGCACGTGCGCACGTGCAGGGGTCTATTCCAGATCTCGAGAACGGCTGGACCGATTGCGCTCAAATTTGGTACGCAGTTACGGACCGGTTAGTAGGGTGCCGTGCAAAAGTCAGTTGGGACCCATTTTGCACGTGCGCACGTGCAGAGTGCCGCTTCCAGATCTCGAGAACGGCTGGGCCGATTGTCCTCAAATTTGGCACATCGCTAGAGACCGGTTAGTAGGGTGCTGTGCACAAGTCAGTTGGAGGTACCTCCTCACAATTTCGCACGTGCACGGTGCAAGACCCACCCTCTCGCTCGCTCCGTTAGTCGCCCCAAAAGGCGTTATACTGGTATTGTAAGCTTTACATGCCACGCCGATCTCCTTTCGGCCTTGCCTTGTCGACAAAGGCCGCGCAGAAATGCTATGAATAAAGAAATGAGTGGTGGTCACGAAGAATGTATTGTCCCTCAACGTAGCTGGACATTATTCACAAATTACAGCGCTACGACACTGTACCAAACAGCGACACTCCTTAACTCCTATGTGGAGGCGGATAGTTTAGAACACAACTACTGAATCACCGTGTGTTAACATAAAGAAACAAGATGTGACACTCACACGGGTAGCCAAGAAGCTCACAAACGAGAACCACAGCTACACCTTTTTACGGCTAAATATAGACATAGTGCACGCAGCTCAGTAATAGTGCAACCGATTGCGACAAATCGCCCAGACCATAGCATACTGTCGGAATCGCCCGCACTATTACTGAAATGTGCGCACTGCCGCCCTAAATTGGGCGTTAAAAGATGTATAACACTAATAATATAATATATCAAACGTATGACGGCAGCCGGTCATGCACTTGTCGGCATATTTCAGCATTGCATTTCTCCAATCAAGCCATTTACCGCATCAGTCAAGCCTGTGTAATTATCAAAACTGTGCACCAGTTAAAATCGAGTTTTTGCATCAAACTGCTGAACCGTTAGACAGTAGTGGCAGCCGTGCGGCCGCTCTTCACGTGGGTCCGCATGTGTCTGATAAGCTTTGCCCGTTGAGCGAACCGGGCCTGGCAGTGTGAGCAGTCGTACGGCCGCTCCCCCGTGTGGGTCCGCATGTGTCTGATAAGCTTTGCCCGTTGATCGAACCGAGCCTGGCAGTGTGAGCAGCCGTACGGCCTCTCCCCCGTATGGGTACGCATGTGGTTGATAAGACTTGATCGAGCAGTGAACCGTGCCGGGCAGATGGAGCAGCCGTACGGCCTCTCCCCAGTGTGGGTCCGCATGTGGTTGTTGAGGTTTGACCGTTTAGTGAACTGTGCCGTGCAGATGGAGCAGCCGTACGGCCTCTCCCCAGTGTGGGTCCGCATGTGTCCGGTGAGGTGTGACTGGTTAGCGAACCGGGCCTGGCAGTGTGAGCAGCCGTATGGCCGCTCCCCAGTGTGAGTCCGCATGTGTTCGTTAAGGTGTGACCAATTAGTGAACCGTGCCTTGCAGATGGAGCAGCCGTGCAGCCGCTCCCCCGTGTGGGTTCGCATGTGTTCGTTAAGGTGTGACCGCCTAGTGAACCGGGCCTGGCAGTGTGAGCAGCCGTACGGCCGCTCCCCAGTGTGGGTACGCATGTGTGAGGTGAGATTTGCCCCTTGAGTAAACCGTGCCTTGCAGATGGAGCAGCCGTACGGCCGCTCACCAGTGTGGGTCCGCATGTGTGCCTTGAGGTTTCCCCGTTCAGCGAACCGAGCATGGCAATGTGAACAGCCGTATGGCCGCTCCCTAGTGTGAATCCGCATGTGGTTGTTTAGGCTTGCTCGAACAGAGAACCGTGCCGTACAGATAGAGCAGCCGTATGGGCGCTCCCCAGTGTGGGTTCGCACGTGTCTGGTGAAGGTGGACCGTTCAGTGAACCGGGCCGTGCAGATGGAGCAGCCGTATGGCCGCTCCCTAGTGTGAATCCGCATGTGGTTGTTTAGGCTTGCTCGAACAGAGAACCGTGCCGTACAGATAGAGCAGCCGTATGGCCGCTCTCCCGTGTGGGTCCGCATGTGTTTGATGAGGTTTGACCGCCTAGAGAACCGTGCCTTGCAGATGGAGCAGCCGTATGGCCGTTCCCCTGTGTGAGTTCTGCGGTGGTCTTTCATACAGTCGGACCTGTCGGTCGAGAATTGACACCACTCGCACTTCAATCTGCCGTTCCTGCCCATATGGCCGTGACTTCTCTTCACGTGTCCGTCCAGACAATGTTTTCCCAAACATCTGAAGCCGTATTGGGGACATTGGACCGAGCCACTGATGCCTGAAGAATACACAGAAAGAAAAAAGGCCATTTAAAAAAAAAACGTTCCATGCTAAAGCAGGTCGCAATAGAACGACCTAACCCGGTTAGGTCGCAAGACGAAATACCAGTTCAAGTTACGAACCGAGCCCATGTAATTTGGTAAATAAACGTCATGCCTGCATACATCAAAGTAGCAGAACTTCTCAACGAACCGGACAAGAGCACAGTCTACTGTCGGCAGAAGGGTAAATGGCATTAACAGCGTCACTTCGATGGACACCATAACCCTCGGAGCCGCCAACGATGAACTGACCTGAAGATGACGGTCCGGCCGGAGAGGAAGTCACAGACTCCTCAGACGTCTCCGAGTGGACGGTCAGCTCCCGGGCCGAGTCGTCTCCGTAGTACACCAGCAGCTCAGAGCCCCGCGGAACGGGCTTTGACGTCCTGCATAGGGAGATAAATATAGCATTATTGATGAAAGCTTGATTGGTGTAGTCACAACACTTACACAGTCATTAATAACTTCGACGAATCCATTAAAGAAAAATATGGGCCACAGGACGAACCGCGCATAAAATACGTAACGCAGTTAGGAAGAATAGATCCGTGGATTCCAAGACTACAACGCACCTGAAGTATAACTGGCCCCGGTACTGGAAGGCCACTAGGTTTTGTTCTTCCTCCGAGCGGGCACAGTTGACCCTTCTGAGCCAGTTGCTGCAGCTCGGGTCTTCGGCATTCACCGAGTGATGCACGCGCTTACCCTTCTTGATCTGTGGTACCAAAAAAAAAAACATAGTTCATCAATTCAAAGAACAAAGTAAAAATATGGCATGTGCAATGAAAACATTATAAAATTTATATGTTGCTAACATTGGTCTTAAATGTTTTTTTTTAATAGCTTTTATCGTTGAAGTATGTCTATAGTGAAAATATGAGTTTTTTACCTGCAAAACAAAACAACTGAACTGACCTGCCATCTGTACCCGGTTGTTCGACTTCGGGCCTGACCCTGCTCGGTGGTCAAGGTTCCCTCGTAAGGACCGAGTCTTTGGCGCGCAGGTATGTCCTTCTCCGCCAAAACTCCTGGAATCAAATAAATACAAGCCTTCACCTCAACTAAATGGACACAACATGTACTGATACATGGGACATGAAATTATACAATACAAGCAACCATCACCAAATGATGCATCAAACGTCCAGCAGCAGTTGTTACGTATCGCCATCTGTCTTGCCTCATTAACTTACCGGTGCCAGACGCTGGATTTGTCGACTGACCAGAGCTGAGAGAAGGCGGGAGAGTCTTGACGTCCCTGTCGACATCTCCGATACCGGGTCGTGCCTGGAATGTTCAGCGCATGTGGGGCACAATGTCGACAATACAATCCACGCATTGAGGATATCTTAACTCTTACGCCTGTTTGTAAATCAGACGGGTATGTTTTGTGGATATAGATCATGAATCTGTTCTTGACCACGTACCCATGACAGTATTACCTGCTAACAAGACAGTAGCAAAGCAATAATAAAACTATTTACCTTAAGTATTTACCTTAAGTAAAGGTCATTAGGTACCCTTTCGAGTAATCAGACCCTTTACTCAAGAGATGCCTCCTCTTCTTCTGACGAAGACGAGTAGGCTGCCATGCTAGGTGAGGCCATACATTGATGGCCACGATGATCATTAGTATGAGAACTTGTAGTTAAACTTTTCAGGGTGGTCCTTCCATTCCTTCCCCAGTCTGTACTTGAACACATCGACATTTGGAGCATCGATGGTGTGGGTTGACAGCTTGTTCCATGTCTGAGTTACTCGTGCCGCAAAGAAGGCTTTTCTGGGTCCCAATTGATGCTGAACTTGAAGTTTTTGATCGTGACCTCGGGTGACACGGCTGAGAGAGTTCTTGAACATGCTGTTGTGACAACACGGGCACTCTCTTTGGAAGTCCACCTTGTCGAAGCCTTTCAAAATTTTGAAGGTCTCGATGATGTCCGACCGTTTCCGTCAGAATTCCAGAGTAGGTAAATTAAGGCTCCTGAGGCGATCTGAATATGAAAGGTGAGACAGTCCGTTCACCAGCCTTGTTGCCCGCCGCTGCACCTGTTCGAGTGCATCTTTGTCCTTTTTGAACTTGGGACTCCATATAACAGTTGCATACTCGAGGTGGGGCCTGACAATGCTTTTGTACAAGGCTTTGAAAATGTCGCTGTCAATGTTTGCAAAGGTATGCTTGATTGCACCAAGAATTCTATTGGCCTTGTTAATCTGGTTAGTGACATGTTTTGAGAAGGATAGCTTCATGTCTATAGTGACTCCCAGGTCCTTTTCCTCACAGACTGCTTCAAGGGTATGTTTGCCTCCACCCATAGTTGTCATGGTATACTCACTTCCAGGATTTGTTGGTCCTAGATGCATGACCTTGCACTTGAGTGGATGAAAGATCATCTGCATTGTTTTTGCCCAATCTTGCAAAGAGTTGATGTCCTCTTGCAGATTGTGAAGTTCACCATCGCGCTCGTTGATGACTTGGTAGACCTTGGTATCGTCCGCAAACATAGAGATATGACAATTTAATAGATCGGGAACATCACAGACAAACATGGAAAACAAGAGAGGCCCGAGCACTGAGCCTTGCGGCACTCCACTTGTTACAAACTCCCAGTCTGAGAGTGATCCATTGACGTTCACTCTTTGCCGCCTGCCTGTTAGAAAACTCCTTATCCACTGATGAGTCTTTGCATTCACCCCTAGAGCCTGGACCTGGGCTAGAAGCCGTTCATGGGGCACAGTGTCGAACGCTTTGGCATAGTCCAGAAACACAACATCCACTGGTAAGCTGTGGCTTAGCGCTTCCGTCCAAATATCAAGAGCTTCCAGTAGGTTTGTGACTGTAGATTTCCCTGTGATGAAACCATGTTGTTGGCGAGCGATAAGATTGTTTGTCTTCAGATGAGCGATGATGTCCTCGCATATGATCCTCTCCAGAATCTTGCATAATATTGATGTCAGTGACACTGGTCGGTAGTTCGCGGGATCACTTTTGTCGCCTTTTTTAACCCGCGCCCCGTTGGGCTCTGCCGAGCAACGCGCCCCGTTGGGGGGGGCCATTTTGCCCCCCCCCTAAGATCTCGAGAACCACGCAACGTAGCGACAAGCGGCAAACGGTGTTGGATAGCCCTATCAGGGAACTACCTTGTGACCCAATTTTATTGACCTAGGTCAAACCGATGACGTCACAGGTCAGGTCAAAGGTCCAATTTTCACCGTTTACAAACATTTCAAGAAATGCGTTGTAAAATCGAGTAAAATGCATTTCATTGAAAATCATCGATGGGGAAATGTTCTTCAAACACATATTCTGCTAATTGAGGTCACTGATACCAGGTCAGGTCACTGAGGTCAGGTCACTGGGGGGTCACAATATGAAAGTGTCGTGTGATACATGTTTTATGGTCCATTTTACATGACAAATGCGATTATGTGGGTCAGGCAGCCTTTGGGGCCAGCTTAGGTCACGTTTTGGTCAAGGTCAGGTCAAGGTCAGATCAAGGTCAGGTCAAATAAGGTCAAATTTCAAAGTTGATATTTTTGCATAAAATGGGTATCGAATCGATGCAGCTCGTCACGGGGAGTTCAATGGTGGTCTTTGTTTTGCCGTACGAGGTCTAGAATCGCTAAAAATTGAGTTCAAAAATTTGACGTCATCATTTTTGAACAGTTTTTTCGCTATAACTTGGCCAAAAAACGAGATATCGATCTGAAATTTGGTATGTATATAGAAGAGCGCAGGGACTATCACATGTATTCCGGTTTTTTCGAAATTCGGAAAAAATTTTGGATTTTTTTTTTTAGTTTTTCTAAAAAAATGAATTTTTTGAAATTTTTTGGGTCAAAAACCCAAAATTTTGAAAATCCGAGATAGCAGTTTTGTAGCGCTGCTTTTTGTCTATTACACCATATAAAGAACTTTGAAATTGCTTGATAACTGTAGATTTGGTGAGCGTTTCAAGATTGCATGTTTTTTGCTCATTTTTGCTCGAACATGACCTCAATTTGACCTCAATAACTCCTGACCTAAGGTGACCTAAGACTTGAAATTTGGTGTGAAGGTGTCAAATTGATGCCCGGAAAGGTACTGAAAATTTGGCGGCGCTGCGCGCCGCCGTTTTCTTCCTATTCAGGAAAAACCACAGGGGGGGCCAAAATGCCGGCGAGGGTTAAAGATTGGCGTGACGGTGGCCACCTTCCACTGCCGTGGAACTTCTCCAGTTTCAATACTTTTACAGAACAGAGATGTGATGGGTGTCGCAAGTTAGTCAGCAAGTTCGTGCAAAACACGAGGGTGCATGTTGTCGGGGCCTGGCGATTTATCAATCTTCAGTGTTTTCAGCTTGGCATGGACTCGCTGAACAGTTATCGCAACTTGCATCTCTGCCTCCAAAGGCTTTGGAGCTAGCGTTGGGATCGATGACTTGTCTTCCTTTGTGAAAACGCTTGCGTACTGATGATTCAATATATCAGCCTTGTGCTTGTCGTTAGTTGCCAGTTCACCATTAGCACTACGCAAGTCCGAGATACCACATTTTGATTTCCTGCGACGGTTGACGTAGTTCCAAAACACTTTGTGATTTCCTTTGACTTCTTTAGCCAGCTTCGACTCGAATTCCCGCCTTGCTTTCCTGGTCGCGTGGGTAGCTTCATTTCTTGCCTTGACATAACTTTCGTAATCATTACTGTCCTTGGTGTTCAGAAAACGAACCCAAGCGTGATGAGGAAGACTATGAGGAAGAGGATTACGTAAATGTGAAAGAAATACATCATTTTTACATGAAGCTCATGTCGTTCAGTCACTAGGGCATCAGGCACAATTGGTCATATTATTTAATGTCTAAATGTGAGAGGAGTCATGTGTAAAGAATACGAATCAGACCAGTATGGACCAGTCCTTACCTTGGTATCGTGTATGATCTTTAGCGGTCCATGGACGGGACATTCACCGTCCCAATCGCGGCAGCACACGTCACAAACTGTCAGAAAGAAGGGCGAAAAATTATTAGCCATTTGATGAAGAGCAGACCAAGGTTTAATTGTTCAAGGTTCCATTGGACGGAAACAATGCGTCTGTATTCGGTTTAATTTGTCTGCAATATGAGTGCTTATCGTGTACATTCGTCCGTTGATGAGGAAAAGTTGTAATTGACTGAAAGGAGGGAGAATACTCACATATGTTACTATCATCGAGACCGTCCACATCACGGTAGTTAATGACGAGACGTTGACTCTTGATGAACACTGTATCAGCAAAAACTGCAATAAATTCAACAGGGTTATCAATAATTCGGTGGCATTTCGGTAACGCGTCAGTTCAATAGAGTGCAAGCAATTGAACATAAGAATGGTTCGATAATGCCATTCAAACACTTTGTAGAGTACGAAACCAAAAATAAAAATAAAACTTACATTTTCTCTGAAAAGGGCACAAAAGTAAGACCGAGGATATCACGATAAACCCATTGCTTACAGTCTCTTCACAGTTATATAAACTTACCTTCAGTAGAGTCTCGAATGGCAGACGAACAACCAAGTAACAGACTCCTTTTTGCATTGGAGATGAAACAGGCTCTGAAAGAACAGACAAATGCAAATATTATTAGAATTCATCAAGGATAATATGTCATTGTCTACTATGTCAAATAACAACTAAAATTTCAACAACAGCACTGAATCATGCCCTAACCTGTCCCGGTCCACCTCAGTAAACCCGATGAAGTCCTCAGACGGTGACGGTGATCGAGGTCGGTACTTTTCCTCCTTCACTAAAGAATGCAGAGCGCGGTCCGAGAAAGGATCGTCGTCCGACACCGAGGGAGACGACGGCCGCTCAACCTAGACCGGATCAACAGACGAACAATATTCAATGAAACATGAGATGTTTATCCTCCACAGATATACAAATTGGAACACATTATGCGCTGTCATTCCCTTTTATTAACATCGCAGCTAAAAACCAATGAGAGGTGAGCACCATGCATTTGAACACGTACCCTTGGTGAAGTGACTTCAATCTTTATCTCCTCCTTCACAACTGGCCGAAAGTCGCTCTCAGAGCCACTGTCTATGGGAGTGCAGTTCCTCGGCCTCTGAGACTTCCTCACACTCTGTGACGGACCCCATTCCCCGTCGCTGTCAGCGGAGCCCTCCAGAGACCAGTTTGATCCTTTTGGTGACATTGATGCAGCCCGCATGAGCGGCAGTAGTTCAGACACTGGTGGATCTGGAATGGGGTCCAACATCAGTTCACATTGAGTTGACTAGATGAAAGCACAAAACGGAGAAGTTATGTAGCAAGAAAATACAAAGTTGCAGAGTTATCACCACCAATAATTGAATATTCCTTATGGAATTAATACCCATAAAACATCTCTCAATAATGACAATGACATGGTTTGCCAACAAGAATGCAGCAGGAAAATAATGGAGGTGCTCCTATACCGTAAAACGGGGTGTTAAGGGACAGTTTTGAGGTGTTTTGTTATATAACTCAAGAAGGGTTGGAGATAGAAGCATCAAATTGTCAGCATTTTATGTGGAATTTGGTGCTTTACATGCCTGCCACATTAAAGTTTTTAAGATTTATACCTGCATATTATTTTTTATTATTTTTCATCACCGTCCCTTAGCACCTCAATGTGGGGTGTTAAGGGACACCTATATTATTCCAAGAAATGGTCATCAAATGCCCACAATTGGGGTGTGGAAGGCCACACAATTTATTCATTGAAATGTTTTGCATATTCTGTCACAAAACAAGTCAGGTTCATTCACCACTAATGGCCTTTTTAGCCAATTACGTGTAATGCAGTTTACGCTTGTGGGAAATGTGCTAATTATGAGGTAAACAGAACCAAAAAGTAATCTTCTGTCATCAATAAAAACCCATGTTGAAGCTAGTCACTTGTCATTATGTGGCCCTCTTTGTTTTAGTCTTTTTATGATGACATCACATTTACCTACATCAGTCTCCATTGACCCATCATTGTAAAAGAGTGTTGAGATGTTTTGTTACATAACTTAAGATGTGTTAGAGATAAAAGCATGAACTTGCCAGCATTTTATGTGGAATTTGGTGTTTTCCATGCCTACTGAAAGAAAACTTAATGAAATTATATTTAGATATTATTTTTTATTGTTTCTTCCCTGTGCCGTAGCACCCCAAAAATGCATGTATCCTGAAAAGAAGAAGAGGATGATGAATGAATGGGTGGATTTGCACAAGTTTTTTTTTCAGGAAACATGTGGAATACATGTGACAATACACTTATGCATTCATTTTCCCTGTACACCCACTCGTTTATGTGGTACACACAGAGTTTTGGAGATGTTTCAATTTTGTGAAAATGTAGCATGATTTTCAAATCCATTTTTGAACCAAATCACTTGCATGAAAAACCATACCATTTTGTCCTATGGTCAAGAGCAAAACAGTGTCAACTACCACACTGAAGTTTTTATTGAACCTTCTCCAATTAGGAAGTTAATATGACTCAAAGTTTTTCCCATGCAACTGTCCCTTAACACCCCACTGTCCCTTAACACCCCATTTTACGGTACCTAGCATTTAGATCCTGGCTTTATATGAAAAAACTGTAGCCTCAAATGATCTCTGATGACCTTTCTAGAGGGCAGGCTAGCAGCCAAAGACACCTTTGTTGTCACAAGTAGTCCAAATCATTGCGATTCTGAAATATTTTTATTGTTCCTCCTGACCTAGCAGGCTGACATGACCTCAACCTGGGGTCAAAAATTTCATATGTTGTCAAAAAATGATGAACTACAAGCTACTCCAAGCGGTGAGGCGCTTCGCACCAGTTTTTTATTCACACGCAAAAAACTGGACAGGGTGGTAACAAATGCCCCCCCCCCCACTGGGGCAAAGGTTAAAACTGGGTAAATACTATTAGAATTGTCTCGTGGCGACCTACATGATGGTACTTTCCATTTCCCACTGTTGAAGCTTCTTCCTTACCCATGGATGCCTAGACAAAATCATTGTGTCAGGTTTGAGGTTAGGTAAGGTCTGGTTATGTTTCTTTTTTAATATTTTGGAGACACCTACCTTATCATCATATCTGGATTTAGCGCATTAAAGGGACCCTCCCACCTTCAAAAAAGTTTATGAATTGGCATAGAAGTGATGTCCCTTGGTTCGGAAAGATCAAAAATGAATATGTACCAAAGTTCACCGAAAAATATTCACTGGATTTCAAGATATTAGGCTTTTACTTTTGTTTACTTTTTGGAATCTCTGCTGTTCCTAGCGACTATTTGAAAGTGCGGCACTTGTTGCGCTTAAAACAGCATATACCACAACGTGCTACCAAACGTTTTAGTAAAACATTTAAAATCATCATTAGATCTCCACTGACATCACAAATTCTAAGGGGGCATTCCGGTGCAGTCGCCCCTTAGAATCCGAAAACAGCAAGTTTGAAATTCCATATCTCCAAATTAAAGCATTTTTCGATGTTGTTGTGAGTGCCCAAACCGGAACTGAAGGCCATGGCCACCAATTTGGCTATCTCAACTCAAAACTAATGTTAAGGTGGGATGGTCACTTTAAAAATGGAAGAATACGTATTACGTAAGTAGGTACTACTTTGACTTACTTTTGAAAAGTGAGTCGATGCTATTATACCAATACCGAACTTACCATGCTGATCCATCTCAATCTCCAAATCAAGATCCCTCGTTTTCTGTGCGAGTCCGCTCAGAATGAGAATTGAGAATTCTATAGATGGCCTTGATGAGAATAAGTTGAAGTCAAAGTTGAAGTGCGCATCACTAGCAACACACGACGCGTGCTCTCACGTGGTACTGCAGCAAAACTGCGTCATAAATGTCGAAATCCAAGGCTCAGGGTCATCGAAATTAACGTCCATCAATTGAGCAGCAGGTTGATATTCGCGAATATCAAACTGAAAATTCGATATTCGGACGGGGAACGCAATAACTCAAGAACCAGTGAACCGATTTTGATGAAAAGGCCCTCATTCGATTCCTCGTTCCTTATTGCAGGTTGACGGCGATTTCCAGGTCACTAGGTCATGACCTTCAAGGTCAAGGTCAAGGTCAAAGGACGGGGAACGCTCTACCGAGTCCGATTTACATGCGGTAATTTTTGTAGGGTAGCTTCATTCCTTCTACTAAGTATTGGACTATTCCCGATGCATGTGGGTGACCCCTTACGCACGTGCCACGTGCAAAACGAAGGGGTGTCAGTTTTGTAATAGTTGCAATATCTCGGTAAGTACTTGGCCGATTGCGCTTGAAGTTGGCATGTAGGTAGGCACCCACTAGGCAATGCAAATCCATTATCCATGTGCCAGAGTTGGGGTGCTGCTGCACGTGCGCACGTGCAGGGGTCGATTCCAGATCTCGAGATCGGCAGGACCGATTGCGCTCAAATTTGGTACGCAGTTAGGGACCGGTTAGTAGGGTGCCGTGCAAAAGTCACTTGGGACCCATTTTGCACGTGCGCACGTGCAGGGTGCCGCTTCCAGATCTCGAGAACGGCTGGGCCGATCATGTCCTCAAATTTGGCAAATCGCTGGAGACCGGTTAGTAGGGTGCTGTGCACACGTCAGTTGGAGATACCCCCTCACAATTTCGCATGTGCAAGGCCCACCCTCTCGCTCGCTCCGTTAGTCGCCCCAAAAGGCGTTATACTGGTATTGTAAGCTTTACATGCCACGCCGATCTCCTTTCGGCCTTCGCCTTGTCGACAAAGGCCGCGCAGAAATGCTACGAATAAAGGAATGAGTGGTGGTCACGAAAAATGTATTGTCCCTCAAAGTAGCTGGACATTATTCACAAATCACAGCGCTACGACACTGTACCAAACAGCGACACTCCTTAACTCCTATGTGGAGGCGGATAGTTAAGAACACAACTACTGAATCACCGTGTGTTAACATAAAGAAACAAGATGTGACACTCACACGGGTAGCCAAGAAGCTCACAAACGAGATTGAGAACCACAGCTACACCTTTTTACGACTAAATATAGACATAGTGCACGCAGCTCAATAATATTGCAACCGATTGCGACAAATCGCCATTGACAGACTATCAGGGGCGGATCCAAGGGGGGGTCACATGGGTCATGGCCCCCCCCCCCCTTGAGGCCCGGGGGCCCAAAGACCTGCCAGGGGCACCACCGGCCTATCAGGGGTATCACAGTCCTGACAGGGGCACCACAGGACCGCCAGGGGCACCACAGGCCTAGCAGGGACACCACGGGCCTGGTGCCCCTGGGCCCGGACAGGACTGTAACGCCCCTGACAAGCCTGAAGTGTCCCCGGTAGGCACGTGGTGCCCCTGACAGGCCTGAGGCGCCCCTGCAAGGGCGGTGGTGCCCCTGGCAGGCCTGTGGTGTCCATGGCAGGCCTGTGGTGCCCTTGCTAGGCCTCTGGTGCCCCTGACAGGCTTGTAATGCCCCTGGAAGGACTGTGGTGCCCCTGGGCCCTGACAAGCCTGAGGTGCCCCTGACAGGCCAGTGGTGCCCTTGCTAGGCCTGTGGTGCCCCTGGCAGGCCTCTGGTGCCCCTGACAGGCTTGCGGTGCCCTTGGAAGGACTGTGGTGTCCCTGGGCCCTGACAAGCCTGAGGTGCCCCTGACAGGTCCGTGGTGCCCTTGTTAGGCCTGTGGTGCCCCTGGCAGGCCTCTGGTGCCCTTGCTAGGCCGCTGGTGCCCCTGGCAGGTCTCTGGTGCCCTTGCTAGGCCGCTGGTACCCCTGCGCCCGGAGAGGACTGGTGCCCCTCAAAAGTCTGAAGTGCCCCTCGGCAGGCCCAAGGTGCCCCTGCGAGGCCGGTGGTGCCCCTGGCAGACCTCTGGTGCCCCTGGCAGGTCTGTGGTGCCCCTGGCAGGTCTGTGGCGCCCCTGGCAGACCTGTGTTGACTGGTGCCCCTGCTAGGTCGCTGGTGCCCCTCACAGACCTGTGGTGCCCCTGGGCCTTGACAAGCCTGAGATGCCTGGCTATGACAGGCTCGTGGTGCCCCTGATAGACCAGTGGTGCCCTTGCTAGGCCTGTAGTGCCCCTGGCAGGCCTCTGGTGCCCCTGCTACCCCTGCGCCCGGAGAGGACTATGGTGCCCCTGAAAAGCCTGAAGTGCCTCTCGACAGGCCCGTGGTGCCCCTGGCCCCTGACAGGCCCAAGTTACCCCTGCGAGGTCGGTGGTGCTCCTGGCAGACCTTTGGTGCCCCTTGCAGGTCTGTGGTGCCCCTGGCAGGCCTGTGTTGACTGGTGCCCCTGCTAGGCCGCTGGTGCCCCTCACAGGCCTGCGGTGCCCCTGGAAGGACTGTGGTGCCCCTGCCCCTAGGGGTGCTCATGGGCCCAACAGGTCCGTTGTGCCCCTGACAGGCCTGTCGTGTATACTTGCTAGACCTGTGGTGCCCCTACTTCCTGGCAGGCCTGTGGTGCCCCTGGCGGGCCTGTGGCGCCCCTACAAGGCCGTAGGTGCCCCTGAAAGGTTTGTGGTGTCCCTGGAAGGACTTTGGTGCCCCTGACAAGCCTGAAGTGTCAAGGACAGACCCTTTAGACGCCAGGGTCAAGTTCGTCGGACTGACAACGATTTGCTTACCTGATAACGTTCCTGGTAAGTACCTACTCACTACTCAGCGTCCACATTCACAACATATATACACATAGCATCTATGCACATAGCACATTCATATATACTTGCTTACAATTGGTAAATGTGGTTGTGGCTAAGAGTTAAGATACTGACTAAAAATAAAAAAATAAAAAGAAAAAAACTGAAAATGGGGGCACCACCAAAATGAAGTGGACGAAATCCGTTGAGTTTTTAATTTTGGGTATAGGTAGGGGCACCACTTCGATTCATGACCCTCCCCTTGGAGTTTTCCTGGATCCGCCCCTGCAGACTATGGCATACTGTCGGAATCGCCCCCACTATAACTGAAATGTGCGCACTGCCGCCCTAAATTGGGCGTAAAAAGCTGTATAACACTAATATATCAAACGTATGACGTCAGCCGGTCATGCACTTGTCGGCATATTTCAGCATTGCATTTCGCCAACCAAGCCATTTACCGCATCAGTCAAACCTGTGTAATTCTCAAAACTGTGTACCAGTTAAAATCGAGTTTTTGCGTCAAACTGCTCAACCATTAGACAGTAGTCGCAGCAGTGCTGCCAGTCTTCGTGTGGGTCTGCATGTGTCTGATAAGCTTTGCCCGTTGAGCGAACCGGGCCTGGCAGTGTGAGCAGCCGTACGGCCGCTCCCCCGTGTGAGTACGCATGTGTAAGGTGAGACTTGTCCCTTGAGTGAACCGTGCCTTGCAGATAGAGCAGCCGTACGGCCGCTCCCCAGTGTGTGTCCGCATGTGTGCCTTGAGGTGTCCCCGTTCAGCGAACCGTACCGTGCAGATGGAGCAGCCGAACGGTCGCTCCCCAGTGTGAGTCATCATGTGTCTGGTGAGGTGTGATCGATCAATGAACCGTGCAGTGCATATAGAGCAGCCGTACGGCCTCTCCCCAGTGTGGGTCCGCATGTGTGTAGTGAGGTGAGACCGGTTAGCGAACCGGGCCTGGCAGTGTGAGCAGCCGTACGGCCGCTCCCCCGTGTGGGTCCTCATGTGTTTGATGAGATTCCCTCGTCGAGCGAACCGTGCCATGCAGATGGAGCAGCAGTACGGCCGCTCCCCCGTGTGGATGCGCATGTGCGTGATGAGGTGTGACCGTTGAGCGAACCGTGCAGTGCATATAGAGCAGCCGTGCGGCCTCTCCCCAGTGTGGGTTCGCACGTGCTTGGTGAAGGTGGACCGTTCAGTGAACCGGGCCGAGCAGATAGAGCAGCCGTATGGCTGCTCCCCAGTGTGGATCCGCATGTGATTTTTTAGGCTTGATCGAACAGTGAACCGTGCCTTGCAGATGGAGCAGCCGTGCGGCCTCTCCCCAGTGTGGGTCTGCATGTGTCTGGTGAGGTGTGACCGGTCAGGAAATCGTACAGAGCAGATGGAGCAACTGTACGACCGATCCTCAGTGTGGGTTCGCAGGTGTCTGGTGAGGTGTGACCGTCGAGTGAACCGTGCATGGCAGATGGAGCAGCCGTGCGGCCGCTCTCCAGTGTGGGTCTGCATGTGTTCGTTAAGGTGTGACCGGTTAGCGAACCGCACCGTGCAGATGGAGCAGCATTGCGACCTATCCCCAGTGTGAGTCCTTCGGCAACGTTTCATGTTTGTGGGCTTGTCGGTCGAGTATTGATACCACTCGCACTTGAAGCTGCCGCTCCTGTCGATGTGACCGTGACTTGTCTTCACGTGTCCGTCCAGACGTTGCTTTCCCCAGCATCGGAAGTCGCAGTGGGGACATTGCACCGAGCCACTTATGCCTGAAGAATACACAGAAAAAAGAAAGGCCCTTAAACAAGTTGCATGCCAAAGCAGGTCACACATACACTGGAACAATCACGACGCCCAGAGATGACCCACGCAGCTCGTGGTCGCGTTTCCATGCCACTTTGGTGAGCGTCGTGGGCGATAGCGGTAATGTTGACGCGACAAGCCATCAGCGCCCATGAGTTGATCCGTGTATCGTTCGAAATACAGCCTTCAGAAACGGAACGCTGAGCTCGTTAAGAGAATATTTCACTTGCCGTTTATTAACTCGCGCATGAACAGAACTCCGAGCCAACTTATCTGTGAAGGAAAGGGCTTACGAGTATTTGAAAACACCGAAGAATCAAAATTTTAAAGGTAACGAGTAACGAGACGAAAAAACGCAATCAATTATTTCCCTCACCAATCTCACTTTAGTTGGCAAAGCTCCTCCGTGGCATATACACCACGACCTAGTCAAGACCACGACCTAGATTATATATATATAGGTATATATATATATATATATATATATATATATATATATATATATATATATATATATATATATATATATATATATATATATATATATATATATATATATATATATATATATATATATATATATATTCTCAGTTACACTTCGGAGTCGATCGATCGTTGTGTATTCGTTAAAAAGCTAACAGTTTCGGATCATCTCGCTCCCTTTTCAAAGCTATCATGAAAACACACAATGACAGCACGTTACACGAAATTCACGACACGATTATGCTCTTTTTGTCGACAGCGCACATGAAATCAATTCTCAGAAGCTTCTTTTGCAACATTTGGCTTTGACTATGCCCGCTATCACATTATTAAACGCGAAGTGTCCCTGGGACAAGTTGATATTTTTTGTGGTGCTTATCAGCGCTGATTCTACAATGCGACGTTTTAAGTAATCATCTGAAGAGTATTAGTAATTTCGCTTCTTCGAAGTCCATTAAATGTTGATAATCTCTAACATGACAGAAGAGCGCACTTTCGCTACCCTTATACCCTTTTGTGTTCATAAACCCTTTTCTCTAAACTCCTACCAGTTTCTCCCACGTAGCTGGTGTCCGGGCACACTTTGCAAGGAATGCTATACACCCGAACCTTGTTTTCATTGTTCGGCTTGTTTTTAATGAGAGTCTTGGAAATAGTGTTTGGGTAAGTGAATGCAACTCCCACCCCTTCCTCACTGCACACCCTTTTAAAACCTTAAACCTTTAAGCCCTCGTTATACGGCAAAACCAAGCATTTCTTAGGTTTCTCCCTCTTGTTCCTATTGGTAGTGAAAAAGGTACGTCTTGCCGACATATGAGCGTCATGAATAAACCACTCAGGGTATTGAAGGTCTGCGAAAATTCTGTAAATCTCAGATACCTCGTTCTGGATATTGGCTTTGTCGCAAATTCTATACCCTCTCAGAAAAAGTCCCAATACACGCCTTTTTTGGTGCACTTATCGTGGAAGGAAAAGTAATGAATGTACGCGTTGGGTTTGTTGGT